CACAATCTCACTCAATATGGCACCTAAGAAACATGTCTCCCCCTCCACATAAACACACTTTCTATCTCCTTCCTTTGTTGTTCTTTTTTAAGTTTTTGTTTTTTGTAGTACTGGAGATTAAACCCAGAGTCTTGCACATGCTGGGCAAGCACTCTACTACTGAACTACATTCCCAGCCCTTTTTATTTTATTTTTTAAATTTTGAAATAGGATCTTTCTAAGTTGCTAAGGCTGACCTTGAGTTTGCAATCCTCCTACCTCAACCTCCCGAGTAGCTAGGATTTCAAAATTTCAAATTAAAAAAATTACAAATCTCAAAAATTGAGAGTAGAATAGTGTTTATTAGAATCTGGGGAGACTAGGGAGGAAAAAAAGGAAGGGAAATATTTGGTCAATGTACTAAGTTGCAATTAGAGTGGAGAAATAAATTTTGGTGGTCTACTGCACAGAGTAGGGTGACTATAGACAATAACACACTGTACATTTAAAAAGTGCTAGAAAAAGCTTTGAATGTTTTCACCACATATGACAAATGTTTGAAAAGATACATACCCAAATTTCAACATTAAACAATGTATACAGGTATTGAAACATCACAGCATACTCTTCAAATATGTACCTTTTATGTTCATTAAAAAATTAACTAGAAGGGGAGGGAGTATGGGGGCAAGAAAGAAGATGGAAGGCGATGGATATCATTACCCTAGGTACATATGATTGCACATATGGTGTGGTGCTACACCATGTACAACCAGAGAAATGAAAAGTTGTGCTGCATTTGTGTACAATGAAATAAAATGCATTCTGATGTCATAACTCGAATAAATAAATAAATAAATATAATAAAAACAGAAAGAATTAACTAGAGACAGGTACGGTGGCAAACACCTATAATCCCAGCGGCTAGGGAGGTTGAGGCAGGAGGATTGCCACATTTGAAGCCAGCCTCGTAACTTAGTGAATCCCATGGCAACCTAGACCTCAAAATAATAAAAGAAAAAGGACTGGGGATGTGGCTCAGTGGTTAAGAGCCCCTGAGTTCAATCCCTGGCACCAACCCCTGCAAAAAAATTAACTAGGTTTGGGGTTGTAATTCAGAAGTAGAATGCTTGTCTATTGTACACAAGACCCTGTGTTCAATTCCCAGCACGCACGCACACACACGCGCACACACACACACAAAAGAAAAAATAAAAAGTAAATTAATTGGGCTGTGGGTATATCTCAGTGGTGGAATACTTGTCTGGCACTTTCAAGGCCCTGGCTTGATCCTTAGTACCATATGTACAAAACAAAACAAAAAAATCAACCAATTAAGTTAAAAGTCATGCTAAAAAAATAAAATTAAAATACCTTTTAATAATTAGCATTAAAATCTTCTACAGGAACCAGGGCAAGTGATACAACCCTATAATCCCAGCTACTCAGAAGGCTGAGGCAGGAGGATCGCAAACTCAAGGTCAGCCTCAGCAACTTAGAAAAATATATTTCAAAATTTAAAAAATAAAATAAAAAGGGCTGGGAATGTAGTTCAGTAGTAGAGTGCTTGCCCAGCATGTGCAAGACTCTGGGTTTAATCTCCAGTACTACAAAAAACAAAAAATTAAGAGAACAATGAAGGAAGGAGATAGAAAGTGTGCCTATGTGGTGGGGGTAGACATGTTTCTGAAGGCCAGGGCTGCACTTCAGAGCACTTGCCCAGCACTCAGAGGCTTTGAGTTCCATCCCCAGCACTGCAAAAACAAACAAACACACACCCTTCTGGAATCATATACAATTCCATCCTGAACTGAAGAGAAGTGGTGATGCTAAAAGACAGTATTTGGGACTTATTAAATTTGGTTTTTAGTGACTATTATTTAAAACTTCTTAGAAATGCCAATATGTTATTACTAAATTATTCTGATAGGAAATACTTAAAACAAAATTACCTAAGAAGTATCATATTAACTCGTTAATCTTAGAATTAATTAATAAAGAAGACAATAGCAATATAATTTAAGGAAACAGACTGGGAGTATAGTTCAGCTCCTGCTGATATATAAGGCTATAGATTGGATCCCAACACCACCACCCTTGAATTAATTTAAGAAAACAAAGTCAATCAAATACAACATTCACTTCTATGTGAAATAAATGTCACTAAGCAAATCATATTTATTTGCTCTAGGTTTTAAAAACTACTGTTCCAATATCTTTGTTATCTCATACTGTTTAGCTTTAATTCTCATTAAAATAGCACTTGTTCTTCATGTCTCTCTGATCATTTTTCTGTCTTCTTGCTATGTAAACCTTTAATATTGAGCAAGAAGAGGTACCAAACTTTCTGATGAATCAAACTAATAAATCCAATTAACATCTTCTGTGCAACCTGACACTAAATGAATAGTCCTAAAAAGAAACATCATAGTGTCTTTGATTTCAACTGTAGCCTATGTGGATGACAACTACAATGGGGACAATTTTAGTTTCTTGCTGTTGATCTTATTTGTATATTGTATGCATTCTCAGAGTTACAATCCTGGAAATATTTGAATATAATTCACTATAAATACTTAACAAAAAATACAGGAGTAGATACTTGAAGACTAATTTTGCTACTTGTCTTCAGAATTGAAGGATACCATCTGATAACTATTCTCAGTAGTTATCATGCTAGTACATGCTAGTACCAAACATGCTAGTACTTTCCTATATAATTAGGTACAAGAAAATAACCATAAAGCAAGAAGTATAACAGCTTTGTAAATTATGTAGTTATACTATATGTCTCCCAAACTCAAAGACAGTCTTTGTAAAAGGGTAATATTCATGAATCATATTGATGTGAATTCATTTACTAGATGAATATTTATGGAACACTTACTAAATACACTGATAATGATCTCAGGTCACAGAAACATACATTATTCTAGACCTAGAGGGTATCAAAAGCCACAGAGCTGGACATGGTGGCGCACACCTGTAATCCCAGCTGCTTGGGAGGCTGAGTCAGGAGTATCAGAAGTTCAAAACCAGCCTCAAAAAAACAAAACAAAACAAAAAAACCACATTGTGTTCTATTGTTACAAATATATTTTAATATGTGGCTTTAAAATTCTTTTTTTTTTTTTGGTACCAGGGATTGAACCCAGGGGCACTTGACCACTGAACCACAACCCCAGCCCTATTTTGTGTCTTATTTAGAGACAGGGTCTCACTGAGTTGCTAAGTGCCTGGCCACTGTTGCTGAGGCTAGCTTTAAACTCACGATACTCCTGACTCATCCTCCTGAGCAGCTGGGATTACAGGCATGTGCCACACCGCCTGGCAGTGCATAGAATTTTAAGATAATAATGAACCTTAATGTATGCAAATTTTAAAAAATTCATTTAGGAGGTCAGGGATTCCAGTAAGGAATGTAGTCTATGAAGACAATCTAATTGTAATAACAAATAGACCACACTAAATAGCTGGGTAGAAAAGGTGCTGAACTTGGAATAGGTTTACAATTCTGATAAATCTATACATATACACTGGAATTGGTCAGTTAAATAAATAGATAGCAGACAGTGGGTACCAAGTTTCTTACTACTGGAGTAGGAATTTATAGATTAGCAAGGATAGGAGACTAGAATGATACATGTGGTAATGGACTAGAGTTGAAAATAATATACTTTTATGTTTAGGTTAATATACATGTAGCTATAAATGTTTAGATACATGCGTATATGTACATATCTGATAATGCATGTCAGGTGAGAAAGTCTATAAACAAGGACACATACAACGAATATACTTATGCCCAGATATTGATTTCTAGTACCATTGTCCAATAAAAGGAACCATTCAAGGAATAGCTAATTCTAGGACTGTTTTAAGAAATATACAAGGTGAGCATGGAACATCTTCTAGTGACAGAAAATTAAAAACTGCTATAAAACAAAAATAAGTAAAAAATATCTACACTGATGGGGATAAGTCAAAGGACATAAGAGCTATCTTAAACAGTTCCCAAGGGCCAAACCTGGGGCAACTTGAGGAAGAAAATACATAAATTAGTTCTGAATTGTAACCCAAATGTAAAATAAGCACCCATCAGTCCATTTATAAATAAATGATTACTTGAACAAATAAATGGGGAAAAAAAGACAAAAATTTCTCTTGCAAGAGAATTCCAATTTGTTCACACAGATATTTTCCTCTCAACCTGGGGGAGCATAAATCCTTACTTCATAAGTGTGGGCTGCACATATTGATTTACTTCCAAAGAGTACTGTAGGGGATGGGGGGGGGGAGAATGACTTTTTAGTAGAGAAACCTAGCAACACACCTAAATTAGCCAAGTAATCAAGCTCAATATCAACAGAGAGAAATCATGTTCAAAGCATGTACCCTTGTTGTGATGTGTTGAAAATGGCACTTTACCTCTGTAATCTTACTCCTCCAAATCACAGTCTAATCATAAGAAAAACGTCAGACAATAATTACAAAAGAGGGGCATCAAATAAAAGTATCTGGATACAAAATCAATAACAAGAATAATCTGAGAAACTACCATAGCCAAAAGGAGCCGAAGACATGAAAAGGAAATAAAATGTAGTATAATGAATGGACTCTTGGAATGGAAAAAGAGGTTACATAAATACTGAATAGACTATGGAGTTTATTTAATAATAATGTATCAATATTGGCTTATTAATCATAACATTTATCATCTAAATGAAAGATGTTAATCATAGGTGAAACTGGGTACTGGATGTATGGGAACTCTCTCAACCATCTTCTTGATTTTTCTGTAAAACTAAGAACATCTTAAAAGTAAAGTGTATTTTAAAATAACATTAGAGTTCTGATTTAAAATTCCTCATTAGCAATTAGGTATAAAGGCAATTAAAACTGGTAGCTACCTGAGGAAAAAAGTCCTTAATGTCCTCTAAGTCAGAAAAGTCAATTAATGAAAAACCTTGAAAATTCCACAATTTGTCTATAAACTTTAACAACAAGTTCTTCAAACCTACCATTTTTTTCTTCCATCTTTTGAAGTTGTTTGTTAATATAAAATTCTTCAAAATTAAGTTATCAAAAGATTGATATCAATCACTTTGATTGGAGAATATTCATGGAATCCAATTGTAGTCTTTATGAAATCTGTAGTCTTCACAACATTATGCCATGTTTAACCCAATATTCTTTGATATTTGAATTTTCAAATAGAAACTGGTTGAAGAAACTGTCATAAATGACCACTAGTCCAACCAAAAGACAGGTCCATGCATCTTCATTGAGTGAATATATATAGTTGTATCAGATCATTGACAATATCTTTTTAAAGATAAAAACCAACTCCATCTTTTGGTCCTCAAAGTACATGAAACATTCTGTAACAAAAACAATAAAGAATGGTATATATTTATTTTTTTATTTTTTTTAATTTTTATTGTTGGTTGTTCAAAACATTACATAGTTCTTGACATATCATATTTCACATTTTGATTCAAGTGGATTATGAACTCCCATTTTTACTGGTATATATTTATAAAGAACCAAACACACAGGGAAAAAAGATAGTTTTAACATCAGCTCTTTTAAAATAGCATAAACTATTACAAAATGTATAAATTACCAAAATTAGGAAAATTACTGAGCATCACCCATGATATTATCACCCATATATAATATGGCCATTAACGTTTTATTACATTAATAACCAGCAAACTATTCCCATTTTATACTTTGTAAAAATGTTTAAAACAGGGATAATGATGCTAACTACCTTATAGGTTACTGTATGGATAAGACTTAATAATCACTTAGAATAGTGCCTGACAGAAGTGAAGGATTCAGTTAATACTAGCAATTATTACTATCCTCTCAATATGTAATTTTTAAAAGTATAGAGTATAGAATTTTTATACTTTTTCACTAGTAACATCATGCACCTTCCCACATCATTAATATTTTTACATGACTCAATGGTTATATACTTCGGTCAATAATCCACACATTAAAGTATGTTAAGAGCCAGGTGCAATGGTGCACATCTATAATCCAGCTACTTGGGAGGCTGAGGCAGAAGGATTACAAATTTGAGGCCAAACTGGGCAACTTAGCAAGACCCTGTCTCAAAATTTAAAAAAAAAAAAAAAAAGGGGCGGGGGCTTGGGAGGTAGCTTAGTGGTAGAATAAACAAAACAAAAACCAAATCCAGGGCTGAGGTTGTAACTCAAAGGTAGAGCACTTGCTTACCATTTGTGAGATCCTGGATTCAATCCCCAATACTGGGGGGAAAAATATAGGATTTTAGTAATTAAATTTTAATAAATTATTAATTACTTATGTAAATAAACCTCTATTTCAGACATGGAAACATTTTTAGATTATTATTTTCCAGTATAACAAATAATGCTGGAACAATATATTTATGAGTATCTGATTATTTCCTTAGGATATATACCTAGTGGTAGAACTAATAGATCAAAAAGGAATCAGGGCTGGAATTGTGGCTTAGAGGTAGATTGCTTGCCTCCATGTGTGTGGCACTGGGTTTGATCCTCAGTACCATATAAAGTAAAGACATTATGTCCGCCTGTAACTAAAAAATAAATATTAAAAAAGAATGGAATCAAAAGTTGTATCCTCAAAACGTTAGTTAACATCTTGAGAATCACCAAGAATTTTAATAAATTATTCTGTCATTTCCATAAATCATAAAAATATTGGAAGACTTTAAAACATATATAGGGGKGTGTGTGTGTGTGCATTACATAGACAGTCATGCTGAAAACAAAGGAACTCTCCATAGACCAAGTCTGTGAGGCCTCTCTGGGGAATAATGGCAACCATTCACAACACAAGAAGATGCACAAGAAACTTCTCAGGACACATAAGTGCTCAAGTAAGAATCTTCAAACATCTGAAGAAGGCTATCCCATAAAAATGAGACTTCACAAGCTCATTATACAAGAATTAATACAGAACACTGAAAATAATTTTAAAACAAATGTGATTATATTTAATATCCTCAAAGAACTAAAGAAGAAAACCTCGTCCATGAATTAACATACAGTTTTGAAAACTAACCAATTAGAAATCTGAGACACAAAAACAAATTGCTAAAACAAATTTAATAGATGGCTGAATAAGAGAACAGACTCACATGAACAGCTAATTAGTAATCTGAAAGACTGAACTGAGCAGTTTATGGAGAACCCAGAGCAAAGAAACAAGAGAAATACAAAACAGAGAGAATGTACATGAGACAATATTGACTAAGAAATTCTCAGAACTGAAATACAAATAGGACCACCGAGTCCACTGAGTGCTAACTACAACACAATCCGTAATATAAACCAGTAAACAATCTGTGGTAAGTTTTAGAATATACATAATAAAGGCAGTATTAGAAATTTTAAGAAAAATCTACATTATCTAAAAGGAACATGTATAAGATTGGTAATGAGACTTCTCGCCAGATAAACCAAATACAAAATGTTAAAGGAAAGTAGGTATGAACTCATAATTCTATTTCTAGCCAAGATCTCTGATACCAAAAGGAGTTTTCAACAAATTCCAAAAGAATTATGTGACATAGATCTGTCACTGAATATAAGTAAAAATCAAAATTAACAACATTAAGTTAAGCTCTACCTTACACTATTCTCTTGAAATTTATAAAAAACATGTCTAAGGCCATACCACCTGAACATGCCCGATCTCGTCTGAAATTTATAAAAAACAAATTTCCAAATCACCTATTGTTTACAGAGGACAGCAAAGCTTTAAAAAAATCAATATTCAAAAATTTTTAAATATTGAGAAATGGAGATCAGTTGAAATAATACATATCAAACCTGAAGAAAGGGTTCTGTCAGAACAACATACAGAGAAATAGTTAAGCCTTAAATGAGTTTTTTCACTAGGAAATGAGAAAATTAAAATTACTCACATAATAATTAAATTGAAGCTGAGAAAAGAGAAACAAAATAAACAATAAATGAAAGATATATCTGTGTATACACTAAAAAGATTTTTAAACACGCTAAAGTTCAAATAACATTATAGCAATACACATGTGAACTGAAATTTTCGAGGAAAATATAAAATACCAAATGGGCTCAAGCCAGGCACAATAGTGCACACCTGTAATCCCAATAGCTCAGGAGGCTGAGGCAGGAAGATCATGAGTTCAAAGCAAGCCATAGCAATTTAGCGAGGCCCTCAGCAACTTAGCAAGACCCTGTCTCAAATTATAAAATATAAAAAAGGGCAAGGATGTGGCTCAGTGATTAAGAACCCCTGGATTCAATTCCTGGTACCAAGAAACAAACAAACAAACAAACAATAAAAGCCCCACAAAAAAATCCAAATGGGCTCAAGAAGTAAAATACCATCTAGATAAATAAGCATAAAAAGAAATGAAAACAATAAAGATCTTGGGCTGTGGGCATAGTAAAACAACAATTCAAACAAACAAAATATCCAATAAAGATCTAACCAGAGTTGCAGGCCACACAGTCCCATCCCCTCATTCCCAATATAGCAGGTCCATGAAGTTGTAGATGAACTGTACAAAGCTTTCAAGGAATGCAATTTTCTATTCTATACAAACTGTTTCAAAGTAGGAAAGATACAGGAAGATATTCAACTCTTTTTATGAAATTAGTATAATCTGAATTGTAGGAAAAAAACTCAAGGCCAAAATCACTTCCGGGTTTAAATTTAAAAATGTTAAATAAAGGTATCAAGCGGTATAGTAAGATTAGAGTAAGACTCAGGAATACTCAAGAATTTTAACACTGGAAAAGTTATCAGTTCAAATTCTTACATCAACAGATAAATGGAGGAAAACTGTGGTCTTAGATGAAAACAAAGGAAAAATTTTCAACAAAAATTAATCACTTTGAAGCCTGGCATGGTGGCACATGACTGTAATCCCATGCACTCAGGAGGATTTCAAGTCTGAGGCCAGCCTCAGCAATTTAATTAGACCTTGCCTCAAAACAGAAAAATGAAAAGAACTAGGGACATAGTACAATGGTAGAACAACCCTGGTTTCAGTCCTAGTACATGGCAAGGAAGTGGAGATAGGGAGTCAATCACTTGGGGAGAGTGAGGGTGCTTAGCAAACTAAGAATAAAAGAGAACCTCCTTAATTTGATATAGACTATCAAAACCTGGTAGAAAAACTTTTAAAAAATTATATAGGATATCAATCAGGTGTGATAATGCATGCCTGCAGTCCCAGCTTTTTGGCAGGCTAAGTCAGGATCACATAAACTGGCCAGCATGGGTAACACAACAAGACCCCGTCTTGTTTAAAAAAGCATGGGTAACACAACAAGACTCTTCTCTGGTTTAAAAAAAAAAAAGTGGGCTGGGGGTGTGGCTCAAGCGGTAGCGCGATGGCCTGGCAGGCGACCCGCCTGGGTTCCATCCTCAGCACCACATACAAACAAGGATGTTGTGTCCGCCGAAAACTAAAAAAATAAATAAATAAAATAAAAATTCTCTCATATTAAAAAAAAAGTACACAGTGTTCAGGACATACAAAGAATTCCTTAAATCATTAAGGTGATCCTATAGAAAATCAGGTAGTTTTAAAAATATAGTAATTAATATAAATTATATAAGTTAATAAACATGAATAGCTATTCCAACATTAAGTTAGAGAATGAAAATTAAGAGTCATTTTTAGTCTTCAGATGTGCAAAAATTAAGATATTATTTGGGGGTTGGTCTAGACTGTAGGGAAACTGAACTCTCAAACTATTGTTGAATGGGTAAATTAGTAAAGACATTTTGGAGCAAACTTGGTAGGACCTACTAAAACTATGTTCATAACTTAAAACCAAATAATTACATTTTTAGGTGTATATCCTTCAGAAATAAAACATGTGCATAACAAAACACAAAGACATTCCCTGCAGCAATATTAATGTGAAAAACTGCAAACAACCTAAAGTCCATTAAGAGAACAAAGCACATATCAAACAAAATAGAATTTAATGTGAAAACCACTAAAAGAGGCAGAAAGATTTCACATTAACAGGACAACTCAGACTTACACAAGAGTACCACGCAACAGGTATAATAAATGATTTCTAAATAACATGAACAATGAATAACGTGTATGTGCGGCGAAAACATTTTGGAGAGAAGAAATAAGTTGCAGAATGATTCCATTAAATACATATATGTGACTTCAGAGACTAAACTACATATAAAAAGATTTGAAGGCTCTGTACCAGTCTTCAGTGCAATGAAGGGCAGGGGAGTAAAAGCATTCAGGGATTCTGGCTCTAGCTCTTTATCTATTAAGGTTCTAATTTTGTCAAGGGAGAATGTAAAAGTGTACTCAATTGTACCATTTTCAGAAAGGAATCATCTATTTTAGTGTGTTACTGCACTGCCTTCTAGAAAGGGCCTACCAACTTATATTTCCACCTAAGACACTAGGAGCTTTAAAAAAAAAAAAAAAAAAAGCTCTCTCCAGTGCAGTTCACACCTTCCTAAAATTTGAAGATAAGTCAATTTACAAAACCCTCACTGAAAAATATTAGCAAGATGCAGGAAATCATAAACAAAAAAATTTAAATCACTCACAAATTTATCTTCCAGAGAAAGACGATGCTAATATTTCAGGATAACTGGGATTTTAAAATTTGTTCCCTTTTTTTCTTGTCATTTTTCATTTTTGAAGAAAAATTAAGTCGGTCTCTTTTGCTTCAATGTATAGTTCCTTTCCGTTTTTAAAAGGATAACACAATGTGACCATTCCTCTTGGTTCCCTATTTTAATTATGAGGATGGTAAAGACATTTGAGTATAAATCACGTGTTGGGAACGTTTTTCTTTTCTTTTTTGGATGAGGAAGCTTAGGATGTCACATTGTAAGTGGCACATAATTAGGGAACCAGACAGCCTGGTATCAAGAGCCCATGTTTTGTTTACTCTACCGCCTCAAAGTTAGCCCTCTTTGCTTGGGCTCCTTCCTTCATATATGCAGAACTCACTGCAGATTTCCACACGGTAAAGAGCGGCAAATTAAATACTGTTCTGTGCTGTTTTTATTTATTATGGCTACTGAAATCAGGAGCTCCTAGGATCTAATATAAACTCCGGGGTATTGGATAAAATGACTTCACTTATTTAAGGCTGTGTCATCTTACCTGGGAAATGGGTCAGTAGTTAATCCTTCAAGTTCTGCTTCTGGATTTTATACTGTAGATCATTTCCTATAGCCCCTTTTAGATCCTCGGATTCCCAGCTGAACGGGAATCACCTCTCATTAAGTTGTACACCGTAAGATAGAATGAAACAGGGGTTGAGAACTCAAAGCAACCGCTGTCCCTTCTCCAGTCCGGGACTGCACGTGGGTGCAAAGGAAAGGGAGAGTGCACGGGCTGGCGTGCAACCTCTGCTCACGCGGCGGAGGGCTCCAGGACGTTTTTTGCAGGAACCGTCAGGGAGCTACCCACTGCCGTGCCACAGCTACACCGACTCCTCTGCGTTTTCCAAGCCGCCCGCCAAACCGGAGGGTGGCGCACCGCCTGCTCCGTTAGCTAGGCTGGATTCGCCTGCGGATCAGGTTCTTCAATTTCTCGTCGCGGAGACTACGCGGCTTCAGGTGCCCTATGGCCAGGAAGTACTTCACCGTTTATTACACTTCACCTCCGCCCGGGAGGGGCAAGCGCGCAACCTTTAACATCCAAGCCACGCTACAGCGATCACTAACTGGGAGGAGTCGGAAACCAAAAGCATTCCACCACCTGGCCCAGAGCCCATTGGTCGCACTCCCCACCGGGTCTACACCTCAGCAGCTTCGCTCGCTGACCACACCGGCTAAGCGGCGGCTTCCCGAGCGCGCCGCCTCCCGATTGGCTGCCAGAGCTCTGGTCTTGTCTCGCGCTTCCTGGACGGGCCAATGGAGTTACCCGTAGTCTAAAGGCCAGGATCGCTGGAGTGGTGGCGCAGCTGTTTCCTTCGGTATGTGTCAGGCTGCCATCTTGTGTGTGGCTAGAAATGGGCTTTGCGTTGGTTGAAAGCTTATTTAGCAGCTGTCCTTGTAGAAGAGTTCTGGGGGAAGAGACGGGAGAGAGGAGGGACCTGAGGGAAGAAACTTGGCGCCTTCTTTCTTGAAAGCACAGGTTTCTTGAATCGAGTTTCATCCCGGGCTAGGGGAAGTGAGCGTGGTGGTGGCTGTGGTGATACCAAGCTTTGGTTTGTTGGTCGTTGTTGGGTTTAGTGGGGTTGTCGTGCCTCTACTTTGAATTCTTGGTTTCCGAGAGCTGTTTCTCAGCAGTCTGATCAGAAAAGACTCTGACCGTTCGACCCCCTTTATTGGTAAAGGAGGCTGGCTGATGGACTGCAGGATTCAGAAACCAAAAAGGCTGCTAATGGAAGGGGAAAGAGGGAGATGCCTCACCAGCTGTTTTCGAATTCGAAAAAGAACCCTTCAATTTTTTTTGTCGTTTGCCTCAATGGCTGCTAAACCGCTGTTCTTAAGAGTTGCTATTTGTGTGAGGCCGTCCTTTGTATTAGGGAAAGTCAGGTTCTGCGTTTACATAAAAATTGATTAGCGTTCAACCAGCATTCCTGCAKCCTTTTTGTTTAAGCTAAAAGTGGCAGTCTTTGCAGTAACAGGGAAACTGAAAGAAGAATTTTTTCAAATCTTTATTTCCCCGGTTTCAAGGTGTTCTTGAGTTATAAATYTGCATTTGCTGTGCCATGCTTGGTTGCTTAGTCATGGAGCAGGAGGAGGCATTTGTAGGGGAAAGCACCTCCTGAGTTCTTTGGGGTTGGGAGGGAAAAAAAAAAAAARGRRRAWTWMCYYSKTTTYYTTYYTTYYTTYYTTTYYTTTTTTTTTTTTTTAAGTTTTTACGTAGAGAAAACACCTGGTATTTTCGTTTGAGGAAAAAAAAAATTATTGGATCTGAACCAAGCCGACAAAAGAGCAATATTTTTGTGATTAACTTTAGCTGTTTAACGTGCATGAAAAGAAAGTGGAGAAAGTTATCTGCTTCCAGTTTATTGTTCAGTTATTCAAGGTTAACTGATGACCCTTTTAAGTCTACCGTACATGATGTAGGCATTTTGCAGGAACAACAACAACAAAAAAAGTAGTTGACACTCTAAATTAATTTTGTGTTTGAATTCATGAACCTTATAAAAACTAAGTTGCAATAATTCAAATATCAGTAATTTTGTGTCGATGGCTAAAGAACATGTTAACACATTAAGTCCCAAGTTTTCAATTCTGCAAACAATTGTTACAAAGTTATCATAAGTGGTATATTTGTCAAGCAATTTTAAGTTTTTTTTTTTTTAACTGTTCCACATTGGGAATAATGGAACAGAATGGGTTAATATTATATTATTATAAGTTAATATTATCAAGTTGGAGAAAAATGAATAAAAAACATCATAGGGGTTGGGGATGTACTTCAGTGATGCAACCACTACATGCTTAGCATGCTGCAGTCTTGGATTCGATGCCTAGCAACAAAAAAAAAAAAAAAAAAAGAAGGAAATGTAATCGAAGTCAGCAAATGTATTCTAAAACATTGGTATCTCATTCACCTGTTGTGAATGCATATTAGACCATATATTGTTGAATAAAAAGTACAGTGATTGAGAAATATGGATATTCAGTTTTTAAGCCTAACTGAAAAATAATTTTTTAACCTTTTTGGAAAACTTGACTTTCTGTTTGGACTAAATTAATTTGTAACTTCCACTTCACACATATAATATTAAAGACAAGTTTATGATCATTTTTCTGTTTCAGGATTTCACAATAATCTGAAGATCTTTAGAATTTTTTTAATGGTGTTTTGTATGAGCTATGTTAAATGATTAAGTAAAATCAGTTTTCACTTAGATTTATAAGGTAGATATGATTTTCCAGTGCTATACCATTGAATGTACAAATTTAGATTTTCCCATTATCTAGTAAAGCACTATTTAGTTAAAAAAAATTATAACACCTTTTAAGTGAATGTAGTGTAGTCTGACAGATTGTATATTATAATGTTTATGGGATTCAATATAATAAAGTCAATAAACTGCTTATGGAACCTGTTTTGGAAGTTTTGCCTTTGGCATTTTAATAATTATGAGTTAAGACTTTATGGTGATTATGAGCACTTCTCATGAGGGTTTGATCCCCAGCACTGCAAAAAAAAAAAAAAAAAAAAAAAAAGTAGACAAATATACACTTAAATATATTCAATCACTGAAAAACCAAATTATGTACAATCATCATTTTTAAAAAATTGTTTATTTTGGTGTTAGGTATTGGTACTAAAAATGCAGCACACAGTATATACTACTGAGCTACACACCAGACTCTTAAAAATTATTTTATTTATTTATCTCTTGATACTGGTGATTAAACCCAGAGGTACTTTATCACTGAGCTGCATTCTCAGCCTTAAAAAAATATTGTAAAAGTCAAAATGACCACTGTAGTTTGTGATAATGGATAAAACTAAGTGAATGCCTGCATCATGAGGATTTCCGTCAATCACTGACTATTTTAGACAAACAGTGGAACATTCAGATTGTTTCACTTAATGGGAAAAATTTTAAAGTACTATGTATGTGGGCTTTTTTTTTTTTTTTTTCTTTCAGTGCTGGGAATAAATCCAGAGCCCTGTATATGCTAGGCAATAACTTTACCACTGAGCTATATCCCAGCTATTTGGCTTTTTTTAAAGGATGGAGGGATCCTTTTCTAGGTAAACCTGTAATTTCTCCCCTTTGTAATCTCTAATCCTTAAATTATTATTTGAATGTAAATGAACCCAAGTCTATGGCAGATTTTCTCTCCAAACACTTCAGACATTTCTCATGGCCTTTTGATAGATCTACTCAATTTGTATACAACTTTTCCTATGTTCTCTATCCTGATTATTGGTCTAGGAATCTTCCATGTGGCTCAAATTTAAAACCAAATTCTTACTTCTCCCTTTTGCCCAACCGAATAACTCCAAAATACCTTTCCTATTCATCTTTCTGTTCTCACTGCCAGTGCTGAAATGAAGCCACYCTAAATTTTTACATTTTTTTTTTTTTAGTTGTCAATGGACCTTTTATTTATTTATATGTGGTGCTGATAATTGAACCCAATGCCTCACACATGCTAGGCAAGCACTCTGCCACTGAACTACAATCCCAGCCTTCTGTAAATTTTATATGCCATTGTATTCTTGACAAAGCCAATATTCCTCAGCTTGGACTTTGTATTAGTTAATGTACAGGTTTGAGCCAGACACTGGAATAAAACTGTAATTCTGGCTCCTGGAGAGTCTTGAGATAGGATTACCAACCTGAGTTATTTAACAGGACCCTGGCTCAAAATTGAAAGGGTTAGGAATGTAGCTCAGTGGTCGAGCTCCCTGTGTTCAATCCTCAGTACTGCAAATAATAAGCCAGGCAGATGGCACATGCCTGTGATCCTAGTGACTTTGAGAGCAACTCCAGCAATTTAGCGAAGCCCAGTCGAAAATAAAAAGGACTGGAGATGCAGCTCAGTGGTAAAGAACCCCTGGATATTCAATCCTGAGTATCAAAAAATAAAATAGTAATAATAGATATTTGGCTACTATGATAAACTAAAAAAGTAATTGTGACTGTTAAAGAATAAAGTTTAGCTGGGCCTGTGCCTGTAATTCAAGCAGCTCAGGAGAATGAGGCAGCAGGATTGCAAGTTCAAGACCAACCTCAGCAATTTAGAAAGACCCTATCTCAAAATAAATGTATAAAAAGGCTAAGGGTATATGTAACTCAGTGATTAAGCACCCCCTGGGTCCAATACTCTCTTTCCTGTGTAAAAGCACAAGCTGTCAGCACCCCCACACACACACTCCTGTCCCCTGCGCAGCCCACCTCATCATGCAGACCCAGACTGTAAACCAACATGGCTGATTTACATCCTGCCCTTCACCACAGGCCTAAACTGAAAAATCAAGTCTATTGTGCTAGGGGATAAGTCCTTGCAAGTGGTAATAGTGTTTCGGGAATCAGGCAAGAAGCTGCCAAGGACACTTAAAGAGTGAGAGAAACCAAAGTTTATTTTACTCTGGCGGCCCAGAGAGATCAGCACTCCAGATTCTGAGCACTCCTTACCAGTTTTTCACAACATTTATAGGCTATCTAATGTCATAAATTTTCTAGTCTAAAACGATACTGGTTGTGCACAAGGGTTAAAAAAAGATATATGATTGTGTGAAAGAGGTTTCTGGCAGAAGCCTGTTG